TGGATTAACCAGCGCTCGCCGCGAGCACGATATTCTACCCGACGAACGTGCCAAGGCAAACATTTCGAGTCTCACCGATACTGGTAAGTTTGACGCGTTTTCAACGGTCTATAAAGATTCGGAGTAGTAAAGGGTGATATTTACGAGGGGGATGAAGCATAGGCGAGTCGTTTCGGAAACGAAGAAACATCGACGATGTTTGGATAGTGCCGGATTGTTTTGCTTCGCCTTCGATGAGCGATTTGCGCAGCTGTGTACGACAACTGGAACATTCGCGCGACCGGCTACTCCTTTCTCATCTCATTAAAGAGGAACGTGAAAACACGGGGCAAAGATGTGTCTCCTTAAAACAGTCTCATTCGCGTTAGAAAAAAGATTACTCCTGGAGGAGAGCTTCATGGAACCCTCGTGTATCTCAAATATTTGTCTCCGCGGCAGGAAAATCGATGAAGTCCCTTCTGCCCGAGAATAACTAGAATTCAATGGGGTCTGGATGAAGAAGTATTTATCGCGAATAACGCGAAAGGTTGTAGGAAAGTTTGTCGTCGCTGTTCCGACGGACCGAATACGTCGAAGCAGCTACACGTCCATGGAAATTGCTAGAAAATACAGATATTCGAGGATCCGAAGGTGATCGGGACATCTCAGCCGCATAATCGTCTCACCGGGAATTTATATTCATCGGAATGTTGAAATGTTTATTGGTCGCGAGTCGAGTCCGTTAGAATACGCATCCAGCGCGACTGGTGCGTTGTTGTGAGCCCGAACGGATGGTTGCGCAATATCAGAAACGCCGTCCGATGGGCATTCGATATCGGGGAAACTGGTCACGCGAACCGGCCTATACACGCTACCGGCACGCCGGGTCGAGGAGAGATCGGTATGTTTTCGCGGGCGGGTTCACCCTCGCGGCAGGTTCCGTGGTATTGCACCGGCGCGCAGCAACTTCCATCGAAACGTCGGTAATTGGCCCCCGCCGCCGCCGCCGCCGCGTGCCTTCGACCTTTCGGGACGGTTGTTGCGAGCATTCTTCAACGGAGGAAGATGCATGGAGGACATGTGAGCGAATCGGTAGCCGCGGTACTCCGTTTAATCGGCACACGCGTGCAACGATTATTGACTAAACTTGGCCCGTCACGCGGAGACATAGTTCTCGTTCGAACCTCTCCGCAAACTGCTCCGCGAGACGGCTGAGCTACGAGGGGACCCGAGGTGCTCGGAATAATTAGGGGATCGTTTATTCGAATGACTTTCTCTTCCCGAAGGTAATTAACCTGTTCCGCGCGCGTAATGTCTCTATGATATCACGGCTCAGTTATGCCCGGATTGCGGATGTTATGCGTTTATATCCTACGAGACTGTGGAAAACCGAACGCCGCTACACGGTCGACCAATTTTAATGGGCTCTTTTGCTTTATTTGGATCCCCATAAAATTCTGAATGGAGTATTCTTATACGAGATTAAAATACTGTATTTGCATAAATATCCGCGACGTCCGATTACGATGTTAATCGGTTGAAAACGTTCGGCGGCTTTCTACGAGCAAATAAATCTGGTTCTGGTTTATTACAAATGTTTTGCCAGGCCGAAGGACGTTATCGGGGAAGGATTTGGAATCGAAAACGAACTCTAATAAAACGGCATCGAGGAAAAAGTTCTTTTATGATTCGAGCCGGGATCATGACGAACTAGTATGCTAATAATGGCTCGGCATTATTTCCGAGAAGGTTCGCGCTTTAATGGGATTCCTCGTCGCGATTCTTTTATTTAATTGGCGCGCGTCGAGGAGCCGCATGAAACATTCACTCACCATTTTCTTCGAGGCCCCTCCTCGCTTCCTCGCCGACCCTATCGCCCTGATTGTCCCCCGCGAGGTCGTCTTTCTCCTTGTTATCCTCCGAGTCCGTGAGAACCGCGTCGTCGTCGTCGTCGGTCTTGTTCTTCGGCTCCCAGGTCATCTTGTTCTCTTTCTTCAGGCGCCGCCGCGCGTTAGCGAACCAAGTCGAGACCTGCGTCAGCGTCATCTTCGTGATAATCGCCAGCATGATTTTCTCGCCCTTCGTCGGGTACGGGTTCTTCTTGTGCTCGTTCAGCCAGGCCTTCAAGGTCGCCGTCGACTCCCTCGTCGCGTTCTTCCGCCGCGCGGCTAGGTCGTATCCAGCCCCGTATCTGAAACATTCGTTTCGTATAATCTCGACAACCGCACGAACAGCTCTTTACTGCCTCGAACGTTCCTTTTCCTAAACCATCTCTCCCCTCCCATCTCGTTCACAAATCGAGCAAAATTCAGATGGAAATCAACTTTCCCTATCAATCGAACCCTGTATTCCACCGTTATCCTTTCGATCTCTACTCTACTACTTCCTTCTACTCGCATCACCGAATTATTCCCATATTTTCCGAACAACACCGGAATGATCCGCGATACTCCGGTACTCGGCCGATCGCGTACGCTGAAAGGAAAATCGTCCCCCGCCAGGAAAACCGTCTCCGTTCCAGCCACACGAAAAACGTAATCATTGTTCAACATTTGTCGAGCCGGGGCACTCCACTCGAAAAGTGGTATCCTGTCGAGGGTGCGAATTCCCCGCAGATTTCGGCGAGTCCGAAGTGCTCGGCGAGAGAGAGAGAGAGAGAGAGAGAGAGACCCCGGCCTCCTAGATTCGTCCCCGCCGCCCCACGACTGTTCGCTGGCATCGCCACCCTGCTTGCCGGAGCATCGAACCCTCCGGGATAAGGGGCGACATCCTACTGGGTCGAGGGTGATACTCCGGCAAATATATACGGAGAATAAACCCCCAGCGGCGGCGTGATTCCATCGAGCAACCCCGGCACTCACTCGCCGTAATGGCGATTCGATCGATCCCCTCCTCCCACTCGCCGCCCCGGTCTAGCTTCGCGTACCTCGCTCCCTTCCGCGCCGCCCGTGTCCTCCCTATTGGAGAACCCCACGCGAGGGTGTTATAGGTATGTACTATTATATACCGGAGCCTAAAATACCTATCGACGATCCATCGGCCGTGGAAGGGTGCCACCGGCGGCGTCGACGGTGGCGGTACCGATGTTCGAGGCACCGGTTACCGACGACATTGTTGCCGAGCCGTGACGCGCGCGACCGGACGAAACAGTCGAATCGAGAAACATCTAATGAAAACGATGTTTCGGGACGGTTCGCTCGACGGCAGTTAAGCTTTTATTAGCAGGTCTCGGTCGTAGCGGAGAGACGAGTGGGACTTTCGTTCGAGGAACGGAGAGGGTTGTAAAGGATGACACTGTTGTGGAGAGTTAGATTCGAATGTTAGTTATATTTTGTATATTTTCTGGGCGTCCTTTGGAGACGCGTCGTCTGATTTGTTGGGGTTTGATGGGTGGTAAGAGGATTGTAAAATATGCAGATCGCGGGGGGACTGTTGCGAAGAGTTCGGAAAGCGAATAGAGAGTGCGGATTAAGGTGACACCGTATATAGAAAAGGAGACACGTCGGAAGAGAGTGAGCAACCCTCGATAAACCGCGCGAAAATCGAATTGCCGGGAAGGGTATAAACGGCGTTTTAACAACGGGTAGATTATTAAAAGCGACAGTGGCTCGAGACACCGTGGAATCGAACAAAAGGGAACGTCGCGTTTTATCGCGGCCCATAAATTGACGAGAAGAACGCGTCGTAATTTGGCGGTCGCGCGGGGACTCCGAGATAAATAAGCGTCCCCGAAAGTGGCGGTCAATACCGTCGAAAATTTTACGGCCGGTTTCTCCGTTTTGCACGGTGAATCTATCGTGTTTTACGTCCTCGCCCGACGAGATCATCAAAAGATCCTTTTTACGCGGGGCACGAGTTTATTCAAATGGAGACGTTTTCCGCTTCTAAATCGCGCTTTACGATCGCGGGGGCCATCGGGGGCCGATTCCTCTGTTCGGCCGCAACAAATGGCCCGATGAAATCTTCCGTCTCGGGCTATAAGTTTAGACGTGATCTAATCTCGGCGTTTCACCGCCGCGGAACGACCCAACTATCCCCGAAAATATCGCCGGGCGTTATGTCGACAATGCCACTCAATTTGGAGCTCGCCGAGATTCCGGCGAGCCGCGACATTGTCGCCGCGCCGCGTCGTAACTCGTCGACTAAACGTTCCCCTTTATCGGAATACCGCGTTCGAAAAGAAACCAACCCCGTGTACCTGTGCGTATCGGGTGCGCGAGGCGGCGCAAACGAATTAGGGAACCGTCCGAGGCGAGAGTAGACGGTAAATCGAAGGAAAACCGGCCGATTAGGTTCCCGCTTTCGCTCGGGGAACACAGAGGATCGCGTAATTCCCCTCTAGGAATCCATCCCCGACTACCCGCCGACTCCGTCGTTACTGCAATCCACATCCAAGATTGCTGATGACCGCGTCGATGGGGATGAAGAAGCCAGCAATCCGAAGGAAGCGGACTCGTGGAAGTTCGAGGACGTTTCACCCTCTATTAAACCCCCTCGGACAAGGGAAAGGCGGCCGCCGAGGCTCTCGTACCTCGCCAATAAAATCAGCCTCTTTTCGCTTGTACCTCCTTGCTCTCCTCCTTCGTCGCCGCCGCCGCTTCCTTTTTCCTCCTCGCGAAGAAAACCGCCGATCGATCCGGATTGTTCGTATCTAATGACGGGTACAGTTGGCTCCGGGGAAGCTGTCCGTTTCGCGGGTGTCGGATAGATTGATCGTTTCTCGGGAGATTGCTGATAACGAATTAGACGAGGAGAAAGTATCCGTACTATTAGCCAATTGGAATTGATTCGACATTCCACGACGAGGCGCGGTATCGCTTGGAACTAATCGACGAGACGTAAATCGAGAAACAAAGCTACTTTGTTTTAATGTTTCACACGATCATGCATCGTAGAAAGCCTTTAGATTTTTGCTGTATCGAACCAGGCGACCGGGAGTCGCCTAGAAGCGCAAAGGATCGATAAGTCTCCTGTCCCGAGGATCACGGAAGAAGCGTCGTGGAAAATTCCTGCTTGCCGAACGTTGCAACACGCGTGTACCGAATTCATCGCGCACCCTTCAAATGATCCCGCATCTCGAGCCCGTTTATTAGCCCCCGAGGGGCAGACGGAGTAGTTATCCGTCAAACGAAAACACACTCGAGCGTCCGACGATCCCATCCCCCGGCAGGCAGAGTCGGGCGAGCGTCTCTGCGAAACTCCGGGTCGCAATATATCAAAATCACGGGGAACGGGAATACGAGCCGGTAGGCCGGGCCGGGCCTCTTTGTCCGAAGGCAGCGACGAGTCAATATAAAGTTGCGAGGGCCGTTTCGGACGGCAGAAACAGAACTCGTTCCGCGAATGGCTCGGAAGTTAGAAATTGACAGTCGGCCGGGCTCTGCGCCTCTAGATTTAATCGGCGATCCCCACCCCACCCGGCGAGCGGAGGCTGGTTCATTGATATGCGCAATTTCGACTGCCTCCCACACGCGGGGGCCGCGCAATTATCCGCACACACGAGGGCGCGCGCGGCGCGGCGAACTGCCGCGATTTACATACTAAGTGTGCCGTTGCGTGCCGCCGCGCCGGAGGATCGCTGCGGCCGGGGTGTATCGGCGTCGATCGTCTGCGGAGAGGACGCAAGTATCGTACACCGCTGAGGAGAAGTCCTGCGGAAGGAATGCGGTTCCGACTGGTCGGAAGTCGAAACAGTTCGCCTTTCATCTCGAGCATTCGCGGTTCTAGTCTCCTATTTGCAGGGAAGCTCGCGCGGAACGACGTAAAGGTCATCGAAAATAATGGCGAACGTTTCGAAGACTGAAACGCGCATGATTCAGCTTGCGTACGGATGATGAATTTCCTTCGAAAAGACGCGGAATTCGTTTCTACAGCTAATAATCCGTTCGCGAAACGCGGCGCAACGCTGCCTCGCGGTGTTATCAGCGATGCATAGTATGCAGCGGAGACGCGTGTACGCGCGGAGCAATGCGATGCAGATGCGGACGCGACCGGTAACGACGAAAGCTCGCGCCCCGTGTACCCCGAGGCTTAGATCTTCGGCGAACCACGATCCCGAGGTTCGTAAAACTCCGCGACACGGTCTTATCGCCGAGTCCGTCGCGATCGCGCCGGGACCACGCTCGCGAGGAATCCCGGCTGCGTGGGTTCCACGGACTGCACTCATCGATCGGCGAAATCGGGACCGTTCCCACCTGGTCACGGACTCCGGCTCTCTCGATCCTCCGATCGGAATTTAACGGGGACTTGTAAATCTCCGGTACGGTTACTCGACGATCGTCCACGACCGGCCACGAAAAACGCCCCGTGGAACGAGAATAGGCGCTGTCGTGGGAAAAATCGACGGTTATAGGGAACGTTGGGAATTGAGTGCCGGGAGTTCACGATAAATGCTCGTAACTTCGGCCCGAAGATTCGGGATGCCGGTGTTTGAGAGTCGAGTATCGCTGGTTCTTAAACGTTTATAGTCTCCTCGTTGCGTCCCGATACCGAGCGGAGTTCGAGGATTTTAAGTTCTCGTCGTTCGATTTCGTCTGAGTTAGGAAGACCTATCGCCGATCACTCGCTGTAGAAGGAAGGGACTTTATATCCGTGGCAAACCTACGGTTACCCTCTTCGATCGATCCGATATATACATTCGAAATATTTTCTCTTCTCTCGATTATATTCGATAGGACAGCGATTAGAAATCAGGAAAATTCGAAGCACTCTGAAAACCTCTTCGCTCCGCGCCAAGAGGAAACGAGCTCCGGTGGCGGACAGTCTCACGGGTCGGAATTTTTCCCTGGTTCCCGGGCGAAGCGCCGCAGCTGCGCGAATCGGCCGACAAATATTCGCTCTCCGGCGATCGTGGACCGTTCGCGGTGCATTTGAGCGTCGTTGGCCGCCGGTAACGGAGACGAAAATGTACGCAAATTTAGAAACGGTGGAACGGCGAGGCGGAGAGAAGAACGGGCGATAGAGGGAGAGGGAGGAGCATAGGAGAAGAGGGTGGGAAAATAGTGGAGAAAAGAGAGAGAATCGTCGAATATCTCCGGTAGAGGTAATAACGAGAGCGAGCGAGCGTGCGGCGGGGGCGGAGGCCAGAGACGAGCGCGTAATACTAGACACCGGGGCCACTCGAGCGACTCATTAGGGGCTTTGCATATGGTGGCGTCAACCTCGAAAGGTTAACCAATATTGGCAGAACGC